CTTGAACCCCCCCCCCCCAAAATTCCACAGACTTTTTATTCTTTTTTTTAGTCGATTATGGTGGGGGACGTCATGCGCAGGCGACTCGCACGCCCTGATTTTGGGCGCGCGGCGTGGCCGCGGAAAAACTCGGTGGCATGACATAGGCCGCGGGATCCGTGGCCGAGGGTCCCCAACGGCCCACTTGGCATCGTTGCTCGGCCTGTGAGAGAGAGAGAGAGAGAGTTGCGTCGTCGCAAAGTTGCACGGCCTGAAAGAGAGAGAGAGAGAGAGAGAAAGAGAGAGAGAGAGAGAGAGAGAGATGGCGAACGACAGCAGCGATGCAACTTGACAGACGATGTGGACGTTGTCGTCCAACTTTTCAACAACGCCAGTAGGCGAGCGGGCTTCACCTACGAGTCCACCAGCGTTGTCTACTTTTGTCCCTCCACCACCAACAATTGAGGCCGTTATGGAAGAAGTCGGTCTTCGGCATAACTATGACGTCGGGATTGGTAGTTGGGGAGTCAATCCAGCGCACTACCCGCTTAGTCGCGACGTACTCCCACCTAAATCGGTGGTCCGCTCCTCCCCCCAATGGTCATTCGCAATCGCCACCAACGTCCGATGACGAAGGAGGGGGTGGCGATGGCGATGGCGATGGTGATGGCGATGGCGATGGTGATGGCGATGGCGATGACGATGGTGATGGCGATGGTGATGGCGATGGCGATGACGATGGTGATGGCGATGGTGATGGCGATGGCGATGGCGATAACGATGACGATGACGATGGCGACGAAGGGGATTAGGTGGCTGTGTTGATGCCCAACTCTTTGTCGATGATAGGCAGACGGGGGTTGTCTGTATACAACTACATAATGGAGCGACATGTTCACATATTTTTATTTCAAAGATCTCGTTTACTTGCCTTCTTTATCTTTTTCTTCTTCCTCTTCTTCTTCTTCTTCTTCGTCGTCGTCTTCTTCTACTTTTACTTTTCTTCTTTCTCAACTATTTCTTATTCTTCCTCACCTTCTTCTTCTTCGCCTTCTTCTTCCTCTTGTTCTTCGTTGTGTTGTTGTACTTGTTTTTTGCTTATCTTCTTCCAAAACTTTTTGTTCGTCTTTTTTTTTTTTTTTTTTTTTTTTTTTTTTTTTTTTTTTTTTTTTTTTTTTTTTTTTTTTTTTTTTTTTTTTTTTTTTTTTTTTTTTTT